ACGCGGGTCATTTAGAAGGTCACGCATCATAAACAAACATTTAATTTTGAAGCTTAGCGGTGACTACGGACAGTATGAACAAGATAATGAAAATATGGTATTATTTTAGTTTCAGTCATCCGGGGAATCTTGGGAATTTAACCCCCACCAGAAAGGGGGTTCTAGGGCCCCGGGTTAGGTTAGGTTCCATTAGGTTGGTTAGGTTGGATATCGAAATACAGGGATAACCGAAACTAAAATTTTACCGAAAAGATTACTTGTCATACACAAATTATTAAAGACCGAAAAGCGAAGATTACTGTGAAGTCCAGTACTTGTAACACCTGATTGTAACTACCCCCAAAAATACAACCTAAGCCACAGTGAAAACAGGAATGAACTCAGGATAATCACTTAGTTTCTTAGATAGAACCATCGTCATTGCTCCGACACAATTTATTACTAAACTTATTATTTGGACAATCACTCAAAAAAGTCCTGTCGGGAACCACGATTCAGACTCGTGAACCCGAAGCAGTAGACACTGATACATTATTCTGTCCATAAATGTTTCGGATTCAAGAGTCTGAATCTCGGGGTTCATGGTTCGCGACAGGACATAATACAAAATAATACCATGACCGAGACCTTTAGTGTTCTTTACTTACTAACAAGTCGGTTACCGTAGAAACCACCATAAAAACAATCTATTGAGGAAACCAATAATATACACACAAGCCAAGGTCAGAGGGGTGTTGAACTACGTGATCACCAGCCTTATTTCACCTATTGGTTAAACACCTTGGCAGTTCAGGTTAGGTTAGTATAAAATGTGAGTGATCCGAACTACAAAACACATCGGCCATTGCAATACAGCGGGGCCTACCACTCTAGCAACTGGGATTCAACTGAGTGGTTATTGCAGCAGGAGGTCGCTGGTTTTTGCTTCCGTGTCTTGGTGGTGACTGGTAGAGGTAATGAAGGAGACTAACAATGATGGTCACACTCGTAGCTGTGGTTCCCAGTCGCCGAATAAGGTCATTTGAAGAGTCGTTGCTTCATTCTAAACGGCCGTCTCTTGTGTTCGTGTACTCGATATATAAAGTTCGTTATAGATTTACTAATGCATCAACTGTATCACACTTATAAGAATAAACAATAGATGACTGTAATTCCTTGGTCATCACGTACCAAATTTAATTACTGTAGATTGTTTTGTGGGTAAAATTGTTCTTCCTAGTACAGTATATGTAATTTGGAAATAGGTCATTGTCCTGTTTATTGAGGTAGTTGGTAGTTCAAACCCGGTCCCAGGGAGGGAGAAATAACATGCAAAATTGCCCTTGTAGCCCTGAAATATGGGTCCTTATAACAGGGGCCTGACAGTACAGATTACAGATTGCCCGCGAGGGGGCTAGTTTATTGGGCACCCCCTTACATCCTGTGCAAGGTGAAGCGTTTACAGCGCCCATCTGGGAAGCATGCTAAGTTCATGCTTGCCTTTATGACTCGTGCATTAAGGGCGTAAAAGCCTGAAGGGTCATAGGTTTTATCAGCAAGTTACATAAAGTGACGGAATGACGAGTGTGTGTGGGGGGGGAGGGGAAGTTCCCGGTACATTTCATCTGTTTATGGCAAAGCGTGGCAGGTCCCTAATAATGTCAAGTGCCAGGCCCATCACTAGGAGGAGGGATATCTGGTCAGGGAGGGTAGAGGTGTTGGTAACAGCTGGGGACCTGTAGGAGGAGGTCATAGGGCAAGTGAGGATGTAGTGAGAGGGTGTGAGAGTCGGGTTGACCACAAAGTTTACAAACAGTGTGGCCAGGCTCAGGGTTGCCAATGTACTCCCATAGGTACCTGTACCCTAGGTGCAGTCTCATGTACATAATCTGTTGAGATCGAGTCAGGGATGGATACTCTTTGTAGTGGCGGTTGTCGTCACCGGTTACAGCGTCATAGTGACATAGTGTGACGCTACCCGGTTGTTTCAGGTGTGTCCAATATTTGTCGAATGCTTCTCGTTGTGCGGCGTGTATGCCAGATTTGAGATGATTCAGAGATTGTGAGGGCGGCTTCAATATCTTCTTCTTGTGTCGCTTCTTTGGCAAGCCGATCAACAGTCACAGGCAGTTATTCCTATATGTGACGGGATCCCAAAAACTTGACACGGATGTCATCAGTTTGTTCTAGCCCGACGACGGCGGCTAGGGTGTGGCCCTGACAGTATTTATTCTAGTTCGCATGATTAAAGCATAAAAGTATCATTGAAAATAAAGAGTATAATTTATTGTCTTTCCTTTGTTTTTATAGTTGCCAGGATAGAGAAGGCTGCTCAAAAATTTATGGAAGTGAAAAGGGTAAGTTTCTTAATAGCTTTTCCACTAATTTGTTCTTATACTGTGACTTCCCTTTAAGTCAGAAAGTATCCACAGACACTCTTGAATAATTCTTTCTCAGATATGCCACTGTCTGAACCATTCCTCTTTCTCAATCAAGACTCAACCATATGCTGAAATATAAAAATTCTTAAAGCTGAACAAACAGTTGATGGAAGTCTGAGGAAATTGTAATAAGTTATTTGAAGAGTTAATTGCCACCCCCAGGGGTAACCTTAACAAATTAACATGGATACTGTATCTGAAAGTGACTGCTAAAGCATTATACTTTGGCCTTAAATAGCATGAACTTTATACTACTGACTGATTTTGTTATTAACCTTAAGGAAAATGAAAGGTTGTCCTCAGAGAATAAGTATTATGCCTCATTGAAAATAATTCACTGCAGAATTTAAAGGCTGGAATCCTATCTGCTTCTCCACAATTCAGTAACATAGAGCCAACCAGATAGCTTGTTGACTTATCCAAATCCAGTACTAAAACCTTCCTGTATTGTCCATAAGCATGTACTGTAATGAAAAAATTTTAGGCACTCACTTGGATGGTCAGAAATTCCTTTATTGCTTGTGTTTCACTTTTTTTTTACTGTAAATCTTGACAATAAAAACAAGTGTTCAGCCATGAACTTAAAGAAGCTATGTACTCATTACAGTCATTCTAAGTTTGAAAGCAATAGCTCGAACAGTTCAAACACCTGAGCATTAAGAAACATTATACATAAATCAGTGAAGGTAAGTATGGTTCCCAGTAAGGTGTAACTAGAGGTATCTTTACTTTCTATCATTGACAGTGACCCCAACCTTTAATGTACTGTCCTCATCAAGTACAGGTTGACAACCCTTTATCCGAAATTCCGAAAACCGAAAAGCTCTGAAAACCTTATTTTTTTTTTTGTGGAGCATTTTTTTTTGTTTTTTATTAGCCCACCCGGGCACAGGTCACTGACCCACATCGGGGCCTGGTGGGTGAAAATGTAATAGTAATAATAATGATAATACAGTAATAATAATTATTCATAAATAAATTTTTTTATAAAAAATACACAAAAATAAAATAAGAATTATAACAATAATAATAAAGAAATACAAGAATGAACACAAGATCAAAAGTGAGAAACACGACCTTGACCTATGAATTATTATTATAATTATTAATATATTTTAGCCCCCAGGCCCCAATGTTGAAAGTTGAAAGCTATGTACTAATCATAAGTCAGGAGTACAGGAGGATGAACAAAGTAGCATATTCAGTATTATGTTCATCCAGCCCTACTTTTCTTTACTTTCATTTCCACATCTTTATATATTTCTTATTCTCCACCTACTGTATTTAACCTTCACACAGAATCATTTCTGTTGCTTCCATTATGTTCCTTCCTCTCGTATCAAAAGTCAATGATTTACACACACACACAAGAATGTACTGATGCACAAATTGTATATATTATCCAGCCTCCTCTAACCCCTTCACTCTGGGCACACCACTTTTAATATTTGATTTGATTAACATCAGACGATTTTATGCAGCAGAAAGTAGACCCCATTCACAAGTGGCTAACAAAGATCTCTCACTCCAGACAATTCTCAAAGCACTCATTATTTACTTTCCTTCTACTACTGTCATTCATCATTCCATTCCAACTCTACCATTTTAAAGGCACCTAAAATACTATGCTCACAGTGACAAAGTAGTGCAGTACTTCTTACTTACCAAAACTGGGTTTTGATGAACATGACCCAGTATACAGTATCTAATTTGTTTTATACTATAGTATTAAAGCATTTTTCATCCTTTGTTGTAGTATAAATGAATTGTGGCAGTGGTATGAACTAAAACCAAACTAATTTGGAGATAAATTGGAATACTCTATTTCATTATTTTGTTTTCTCTCAAATATAGTGGCAGGCAGGCTCGACACGAACCAGACGATCCAAATTTCTGGTATAGTGAAGTATATAATAATGTGGTTTATTGCAATACCATTATGAGCTGGCTATCCTCTCCCATCTAAGCATACAAAGCTTTTACTGGTAAGATCCAGGTTGGCTGGATAGGTTTATCACACAAAAACGACTGTAGTACTGTATATTATAAATAGGTAGTGTATTTGTAAATATTGAACTAATATTTATCTCAAAATAAAAATTATATTTCAGTTCCTCTGAGCCCCTTTGGTTTAAGCACCAACACTATAACTCCACCACACTATCACTAACCACTTCCCCCTCATCATCCAAGAGTATACAGTAGCACTAATGCGCTCTCTATTCAAAGCCATTAGAAGTCACCTTCCTCTTATTTTTGGGGGCGGCTGGGGAAAAAAGTCAAGGTAACGAGAAATTGATGGACATACATCCACCTTTTATATACTAACAGTAAGTGCCCCACATATATCCTTCCCTTGTACCCAACACCTAATGGTGCAGGAGTCAATACATCACCTGGATATCTCAATAGTATGGTGATAAAGGTTAGTTCTTATATGGGAGCAATTGGTCAGTCTTGGTTGTTCTCATATGAGGTCAACTGCTATGTAAGAGTTTAGCTGCCGCCTGCACATTGAAGAGGTACGGTATTATGATTTAGTTGTTGATTATAAGAAGTGGTTCGAAATAAAACATAATGCAGTAACAAAAATGTATTTTTAAGTGATTCCTTAGGACAAGTTATTTCACTGATGTCATTAACATTCAAAATAGTGCAACTGGCATGTTATGCAGCATGTTATGCGACAGTAAAAGCTTTGTGAGAAATGGGCTTTTGTTCCTTGTATGCTAAAATTATTAATGTTATCAGAATTCACACAAGGAGCTAAGCAGTTAAGACTTCATTATATTGTACATCGTATTAGACTCATCTGTTCTGTAGAGCAATTAAATTACAGTATTAACTCTACCTGATTATGGGATGCCAACTGAAGGTTGAAAAAGTAAAAAATAATTAGACACAACCAAGGTTTCAGTGTTTGCAAATAAGCTGTTCTGAATTTAACCCCCAACGCTTCACTGGTCCATGGGCCCCATGTCTTGAGGTACTCCAGCACCTGCATTTTCCTCTTTGTTCTTCTTTGATCCTGAAACAATGTCATCTATCCTCAAGAGCAGCACAGCAGTCTGTAAAAAAAAAAATATATAAATCACTTATGACACACAGTGGTCCCTCGGTTAACGAGCACAATTCGTTCCAGAAGGTTGCTCGTTAACCGAAACCATTGTTTCAATGGGGTTTTGGATAATTGGTTCCAGCTCACCGAAAATTTCCTAAATTCAACAAAAAAGGTAGTAAAGTACACCTACTTTGAGGTGTGTATGTAGAAGGCTCCTGGATGATGATGATGATGATGTTGGGAATTAGAATGGGGGTGGAGGAGAAGAGAAGGCATTGGGGTGGAAGAGAAGTCACCCCATGGTGCCATTTCACCCATAAAATTCTAGTTTTCTTGGTGCAATTCAAGATAATTTTCATTAAATCAACACTGCACTGCATTATATATTGTCAATATGTAAAATAAATTTCAAATTGACCAATAATTTGCTTGGAAACACAGAAAAAAGCGTTAAGTTGAAGAGTCTCAAGCAAAATGTTACCTCCACTGAAAAGACACAGAGACTGACGCCTGTATGATGTGTTGACAGGCTGTTTGGCGCGCAAAAAACTAGCTTCCTATACTTCAATTATGTTCAATAATTGTTAAAATGACTAAAAATTTTACATAAAACTTTTAAAATGATTGAATAGTACAAACTTCTTGATACTTACTAAAATAGTAAGGAATTTAAGCCCTAGAACCGATTACTGTATTGGCGGACTAATACTACAGCTGGTGGACTGCCAAATGCAAGCGAAAACATGTGGAGGGGCGCTCGTTAAAAACTTGTTAATCAAGGGATTGCTCGTTAATCGAAGTTAAGAATCTTATGGAAGGTAATTCGTTAACCGAGGGATCACTGTACAGTATACAGTGACCCCTCGGTTAACGAACTCAATCCGTTCCAGAAGGTCGTTCGTTAACTGAAAAGTTCGTTAACCGAAACCATTGTTTCAATGGGTTTTTGGGTAATTGGTTCCAGCTCACCGAAAATTTCCTAAATTCAACAAAAATGGTAGAAAAGTTCACTTACTTTGAGGTGTGTATGTAGAAGGCTCCTGGATGATGATGATGATGATGGGAATAAGAATGGGGGTGGAGGAGAAGGAAGAAGAGAAGGCATTGGGGTGGAAGAGAAGTCACCCCATGGCACCATTTCACCCATAAAATTTTAGTTCTCTTGGTGTATTTCAAGATTATTTTCTTTAAATCAACACTGCACTGCATTATATATTGTCAATATGTAAAATATATTTCAAAATGACCAATAATTTGCTTGGAAACACAGAAAAAAAGCGTTTAGTTGAAGAGTCTCAAGCAAGATGTTACCTCCACTGAAAACAGAGAGAGACTAACACCTGTCTGGTGTGTTAACAGGCTGGATGGCACGCCAGAAACTAGTTTCTTTACCATCAATTATGTTCAGTAATTGTCAAAATGACTAAAAAAAGTTAATATTAAACTTTTAAAATTATTGAATAGTATAAACTTCTTGATATTTACTAAAATAGTAAGGAATTTAAGCCCTAAAACCGATTACTGTATTGGCGGACTGATACTAAAGCTGGTTGCCCAGCCAGTGCAAGCGAAAACATGTTGAGGTCGGTTCGTAAGAAATTCGTTAACCGAATTTTTGTTCGTTAACCGAATTGAAGATCCTTATGGAAGGCAGTTCGTTAACCGAAATTTCGTTAATCGAGGCGTTCGTTAAACGAGGGGTCACTGTACTGTATAAGTGTTAAATGCCAAAAGGTAATTCAGGGAATATCACCTGTTATTGATTGTATTAAATGTCCCAGTGAAGGATCAAAGTTTATGAAAAGTGGCAGAATTGGACATAATTGTCCATAGTAATTTGAATGTCTGAGATTATACAAACTATAATTGAAAAGATATTAAAAATAATAAAAACTCCCCAACAGACAATACAGTAAGTCAATGTTGATCTACAAGACAAATAAAATAAGGTGTAAGTTTTTATATAGTGCTTATTATTACCCTCCATAGAGCTGGTGCATTAAAATATTGGTTCAAATTTATACCCCTAACTCACTTCTACAGCTGTTTTAAAGACTTGTAATTTAACTGCAAGAGGCTCCCAGATCTTGAGTTTCTTCATGTCAGTCAGTTCTCCAGTTTCTCCATTAACACCCCACGATGTTTCACCATTCACATGTTTGGCTCGCAAAGCTGTCAGTAATCTGATAATATTGGCTCCACAGTTCTGAGATAATGTGCGTGGAATTACCTGTGGAATGAAATCAAAGTTACAGAATGAATAAAAGTAAAAAATAAAAGTTTTTCAGGTACTTCAATACCTGTACTTTAATTTTGGTATCTACACTAACGCAGTCCTCAAACAAATCATATGTTAAAGAATTTCCTAAAAGCATTCTTACACAATCATTACAGTATTTCAGTTTAAATTTCCTAAACATTACTCAGCTGCTACTCTGTTTATTTTGAAAGATAAAATACCTAAGATCACTGTTGACTGTCAACCAAATACAAATGTAATTATTTGAATTCTGTTGCACAAAATAAAGTCTCCAACAAATGCTATGATTAAAATGGATATTTAAAATTGCATTTAAATTGTTTTCCCTTTGTATCTTCAACTTTTCTTCCCTCAATTTCATATTAGACCATTTCTCAGAGTTCATACACCCTTCCCTTCACTTACACCATAATATTTTTTTTTCTGTAAATCTATTTGATTTTGTTTAAAGTATCAGCTTCATACAAAACTAAAGTATATCTTCATACATTTCTTGACTATATAATTCAAGCTTGTGAAAATTTATTATGTCTAAAACACAGATACCAATGAAAAACTTTGTAACATTCAGTCAAGTTAATATCATATTGTACTGTATATACATAACTGAATTTACATTATAATTACCTCCAGAGCTTGGGCAAGAGCTGTGTATGGCCACTGCTTGACTCCAGTTACAGATTTGGCCTTCTCCTGTAGAATCTGTGAAAGAGCCATTTCTACTGCTCCTCCACCATAAACCAAGTATGGTTCGATAACAAGGTTTCGCGCTACACCAAGAGCATCGTGCAAGTTTCGCTCAACCTCATTAAGGATGTCTTTACTGGGACCGCGGAGAAGGATGGTACAAGCCTTTGGATCCTTGCATTCTGTGATGAATGTGAAATATTCATCACCAATCTGTTGACAGAAGTTCAAAAGGTTAGTAAATAAGAATGAAAGGCTCCAAAACCATTTAGATATCTAGCCTCAGTGTGGTTAAGCAAAGGATATAATTATACATTTCGTTATAAACAAGTACTGCAGCAACATGAAAAAGAAACCCGTATATGACACACAAACTCCCAAATTTTTAAGAGTCTGGTAACTCACCTTTTTTATTTCAAATAATCCTGATCCAGTTCCCACATCCTCCTCTTTCAATTCCTCAGTACGATTAGCAATGGTAGCTCCACAAGCACGTGCAATTCTGTTATTGTCTGACTTCTTAACACGTCTGATGCATGTGATACCAGCCTTAATAAGGTAATGCTGTGCCAAGTCTGACACACCCTTCTCAGTAATAATAACATCTGGACGTAGAGCAATGAGGTCTACACACATGGACTTGACATGTTCTTCTTCTATTTCCAACATCTGAAAGGAATTCCAAGTTTATACTATACAGTAGTATATTTCTGAGGTCTAAACCTTGTTGTAGTTATAGACCTCATTTATCTGACATATGTCAGTTAATCCCAGATATATCACATGGAGGTTATGCTGATAGTGTCTGTGCTCTGTATATGCCAAGTGTGAAGGGTTAGGAGATGAGTTGTAAAGTGTTGGGAAACAATGCAAAGTATACAGCATAGACTTCAGCAAATTGCATACTGTAATGGTATTGACTTAGCAGAGGGTGGGGACCAAAATGCTGTCAGACACGATGTACAGTCTAATCATTTAATTTCTCCTGGGAAAGTGGTTTCTGAAATGTGGATATGTGAAGAGGGGTGTTCCATGTAGTCTTTTGTTAGTATTTGGAATCAGGAGGTTGCAAAGTAGTTGGGAATGTACTGTTTTGTTAGGATGTTTTTTAATGTGCGAGAGTATTTTGGGGAGTGACTCATTTTTTGTCTTAAGGATGGGGGTAGTTGAACATAAAGAATAAGGGAAAATTCACCAATGCAGCAAATTCTCAGTCCCATCAGTTTGTGATTTCAGAGGTCATGTTGTACAAATAACACTACTGGTACTTTCTTAAGTTAACTATAATGCAATAACTTTTCAATGGCACAATCAAGGACAAAAGGAGGACCAAATACCGTAGATTAAATAATACTGTTTAATGAATGGCAAATAAATTACCTTTAAACCTTCATCACTAATGTGTAGGTAGACCAAAGGGTTATGCAGGGCAACGTAGAAAGCAAAAGGAAAGGGCTAAAAAAAAAAGAAATACTTTAGGACATACCTCACCTGCAGTGATTCCTTAAACTTCCAAATTGAATAAAATAAATTCACATTCAATTCAGGCCCAACTGCTTGCTCATGTAGTTAAAAAAATGTAGTGTGCTGTATCCACACTACCACCCATGACGATCCAAAGGCACATCAAACCTAATTTCACCTTGCACCACTCAATGGAGGTGGAGGAAACACCGAGGTCAAAAAAAATTTACACCTAAAGAAAACCATACCTTGGTGAAATCAGTCTCTGCACTAAGTTCCACATTAGTTTGAGATTCTCCTTTCTTGTACTCAAGAGGGCAGTCAAGAAGAATAATACGAGGGTTTTCAATGCGCCGTTTCATTTTCTGGTGTGTGACATCTTTGTTCACCATAATACCATTCAGCACTTGGCAATCTTCAATGGCACCACCAGGGATCTGTGAAACAATTTAAACAAGTGAAGTCATGTGACATGAGTGAGTCTGAGAGAAATACCAAATAAAAATAGTTGGCAAATTACTGGAGCTTCACTGAAAAGAAACAAATTACATATAAAACCTGGAACCTTTGATATTTGATTTGAGAAATATTACTTTAAAATTGATTTTGCATAAACTTAAAAAAAAGTGTCTACTGGCCAAATGAATCTGTTCTACTCATTAAAGGCAGAAATATCCTCTGCTGTGCCAAGGAAAAGTCCACTGGACCATAACTTAGGACAGTGTTGTAAGAAAGTTAATTATTCAACCAATATTTGAGGTACAGTAGGATCAGGATATATCACGACTTTATATAAAGATTTTTTTATATCGCAGCTACCAAAATTATCGACATTTTCCTAAATATAGCTATAATTTTTTTTATTTTGCGAGGGAAATCGGGCAGGAAATATATCAAAAGTACCGCCATGGCAAACAAATGCGTTATTTGCTCACCAGAGGCGCCACCGTGGTTGCTCAATCACGCAGTCACGCTCGCCCGCTCAGTCTTTGTGAGTGAGTGACAAGAAAGCAGCCGACTCTGCTGCAGGTGAGTGTAAATGGGATGCAAGTGACGTGAAAAATGAAGTGAGGAAAATGGAAAGCTTAATGGAAAAGATTTAATACTGTAACTAATATTTTTGTGTTCATTTATGTAGATGTGGGATTGTCAAGTGAGGGTGACATTGTGGCATCTACTGCCGAGTTTGGTGTTCCCAGGATGGTGCGTCAGCTGCCGAGTCTGGTGTTCCCGAGTCTGTTCCTTGATATTGATATTGACATTGAAATAGCCTGTTGTTCCCAAGTCTAGTGATCATTGGTATTTTAGTTAGGGTAGTAAGAAAATGAACTCGTTCAGTCAAGTTTAGTAACTTTTTTGGCCTCCAGAACCTAACCCTATTTTCCCCATTGATTAATTAGTATACAGGTATAGCGAACGTCGTTGGACCCTATCTCGCGATATATCCCAACCCTACTGTACAGTATAAAATTACCAAGTACAAATAAACCAGAATTAGTTTGAATTATAATATTTATAACCCTTGACCCCCCCCCCCCAAACCACGAGTTCTTACATTCCCTTTCTGTGATGGTAGTAGACATGATGTACAAGAGGGACTTGTGATGGACTGCAGATTGAAGATAAGTTTCAATGGTTAGAAGAATACAATGAGCTGGCTAACAAGAATACTTAGGAGTTTTTGGTATAAACGGTAATGATGAGAGAATCCATGGATTGTATTCAGTCACAGGTTTGTCTAATGCGGAAATTTCTTTTCTGCAACAAAATATTCACATGTACAGTCTACCCCACAAAATATCATTAGATTTTCTGTCGTTACAATTTGAAACGCTAGATGAAATGCTTTGATATGATCCCCAGTGCAACATCTTACAGCCTGCTCGGCATATCAGCAACAGCGAAAGACTGCGATAGGAATGGGGGAGGGGGTTGTCCTTGCAAGGCATACTAGATACTGTATTTCAATATACACTAACAAGAAATTCATCAAGATATATTTATGTATGTCTTGTGTTGGGTAGAAGCAAGGCATATGTAAACAAGCCAATGACTGATGATTACAACAACACTGAAATATACATTATATGGATGAGTCTCAGAACATCATAACTGAAAGAGACCTCTAAACGGACATTTCACCATTATGTCGTTGTACTAACGGAGTTCCATTCATACCGAGTTTCACAATATGCTTACTCATGTATTTCACGAGGTCTGATTTATGAAGAGTAACTTCGCAAACAGTTCTGTACTTGATAATTGGTTGAACAACTACAGCAATACAGTATAGTCTGGTTTTACGCGGAAGGCCATTTATGTGGCAACTGTCAGCCTCTGTTGTGGATAGAGAGAGAGGTGAGGACCAATAATCTGCCCTCTGCCTCGGAACCAACCCCCATCCCCGTGTGCCCAGCCATCTCTTCTATTAACGTAAGTGTTAAAAAACCCTAATATTATTGATATTTCTCTTATACTGTATATTAATTGTGTGTGCTACCAAACAGGGTGGTACTACCGCCTGGGAAGATATTGGAAGCATAATGTGTTGTCTAATGGTAGACCCTGCTGCCATATGGCATCACGAAAATTGTGACCAAGTCCCAGGTTGCTGATCTGTCTTTCTGCCTCATTTACACACAATTGTAGGGTCTCAATTGTTTCTCTTACATGACAACACAACATACATATAGCTTTTCTCACTATTGATTTTTTTTCATTCTTGTATTTCTTTGTATTTATTATTATTATCATCATCAGTGTTGTTATTATCCTTAATGTTTTATTTTACTTTTCATTAAAAATTTTTATTTACTATGAATTATTTTTATTATTTAATTTTCGCCCCCCAGGCCCCGATGTGGGTTAGTGACCTGTGCCCGGGTGAGCTAATCCCCGTAAAAAAGAAAATAAAAAAGTACAGTATTGTGTCGGCGATAGCCAAAAAACGGTGAATCTGGCGGTCAGGCCAGTCTCTATTTCAATTAATCCCATAGGTCCTGTTATTTTATTTACTCATTTCGCTTTATACTCGTACCTCCATGGGTTTAATTATCCGCGTAAAACCAGACTATACTGTACACCAGGGGTGGCCAACCTGTCGATCGCGATCGACTGGTAAATCGCAAGATCTTCTCTCGTCAATCGCATGGCAAAGTTAAACTTAATGATTCATCCTTCTTAAGCTGCCATACAAAAAACCTCTTCTAATTTCACTCATAATCATTGGGATATTATATGTGTTTAGATTTCTTCTGGGAATAGATTATCATTATGGACACATCAGAGCGATACATACAAAAAAAAACTTCGACTGTGCCATGCTGTGTGTGGCGGAACCTAATAGGAGTGTTGGCGTTCATAAGGGCCAGTGCTGGCTGGTTCCTGGTGAGGAAACTGATCAGCAAGTTGTGATCAGTTGTAGGCTAAAACTAGGCAGGTATTTGCTTTTATAAGTTTACAAATACACGTTAAACCTTGTATTAATGAATTTGGTAATGAAAAAGTCTACTCGATATTGAGGAGTCTTGTAAAAAGTAAAGAGAGAGAGAATCATATTTAGCAACCTTGCCCAGCGAGCCTACACACTTGTCACCAACAATGCAGTGATTTTCAGTCATCTGCAATACTTGGAAGTGTGAGGTGCTGCCTCTTGTTATGGAAAAGCCTTGGGTGATTACAAGAATTACTGGCTTTTTAGCTTAGCGAGAGTTCTCGCCGCAACTCTAGAGTAGACAGAAGTGTACACACTAGCCGATGACAATTGCTTATAAAAATAAAAGTTAAGAACGTTACGCTGTTACGTTAGTAATTCTCATATTCATGTAGAAAAAGTCATGGAAAAAAGTAATTCTCATATTCACGTACGACTTAATCTTTTCCAAATATAGGTTATTGGCCATCAACTGGACCAAAAATGAGTTCTGGACCAAGTACTAAAAATACCCAAATTTACCATTTTCACAATGAATGGGAAAAAGACTATTTTTTACCATGAATAATTTGAAGTGTCTGTGCTTGATCTGCCATGCGTCTCCAGCTCTAGCTAAGAAACAAAATCCTGAAAGACGTTTCAAAAGTTTTCACAAGAAGTATGATAATGATTTCCCACCCAAAAGTGAGCTATGAAAGAGGAAAGTTCATGAACTGAAATCACAGCTTACTGCACAACAAACTCTTTTTACAGAAGTGAGCTCAAAATCAAGGGTAGCAACCATTGCATCATCCGGGGTGAGTCGAGTACTTACAAAGCATGAAAAACACAAACACTTCAAGATGGAGAAATGTTCAAAGGCCTTTTTAGAAGCAGCATATTTGTTGATTGAAAATTTCAAAAATAAGTCTGTAATACTGTTTTCTATTAAGGATGTTCAGTTATCAAGAAACACTGTCATGAGGCGCTGTGAATTCATGGCTGAGGATTTGGGTGAACAACTAAATAAAGACATACGTGGGTGTTGTTAGGTTCTGAATAATAAGTTCTATATACAGGAGAGAACACAAACACCTGTATAGTTTTGTAGGTTCGGTTTACTGGATAAGAGTATGTACACAGAGGGGGGGGTAGCACTCCTCAGCTAGGCTCCTGGTCAACTGCTATAGACGACGTATGGCAAGTGATACATTAGCAGCTTCCATACGTCGCCAGGCACATTAATTAAGCATGTGGGATATGGTACTAACATTGCCACACGCTGCTAGCTAGGCTGAATAAATAATACATAAATGGAGCACATACATAATATACATACATAATATATAATCCAGCATACATAATATACATACAGGTGTGTGTTCTTTTCATTACAATTTGATGAGTCTACTGATGTGGTCGATACATCACAATTATGTATCCTCATGAGAATGGTGTTTAAAGACATGAGTACCAAAGAGGAACTGCTGAAAATTCTACCATTAAAAGGAAAAACTCGGGATGAAGACTTATTTCAGTCTTTCAGTGATTTTCTTAATAGTACACAGTTGCCAGTAAGTAAGCTCGTATCTAAAAATACTGATGGGGCACCTGCATTGGCTGACCGAATCAGTGGGTTCATTGCCCTGTGCAGGAGTGATGATAGGTTTCCTAACTTCTTTTTTGGCCTCAAAAGATTGGCCTTTTGATCACAACGAAGCGTGGCTGTAAGATTTAGCTTTTTTTTGTTGACATGACTACAATGCTGAATAAACTAAACTTAAATCTGCAAGGGAAAGATAAAACTATAGTTGACATGATTAACCCTGTGGCTGCTTTCAAGCAGAAACTAAAACTAGTGTCTTCGCAGCTGCATCAACATCAACTACGAAACTTCAGAAATATGATGTCTGAACTAGAGAACCAAGGAAAAGACTGTGACCAGTTTGACAGTGCTCGATATATTGAACAGGTACAAAACCTTGCCTCATATTTTGACAGACGGTTTCAAGATATAGCAACAACAGAACCTGTTGCAACATTTATGTGTTTTCCATTTGGTAAAATCACAAATGTTGAAGATATTGCATCTAGAATGGCATCGGTATTTAACATGGCCATATCTGAAGTCAAAAATGAGCTTCTGAAGCTTAAAAATGATATTCAGATCAAATCCAAGGCAACAGGAGGAAGTTTCTGGAACCTTCTCAGTGAAGAAAAATATCCCAATGTCAGAAAATGTGCCATGTACCTCACAGCATTTTTTGGATCAACCTACCTTTGTGAATCAACATTTTCACACATGAAACACATCAAATCCAAACACTGATCAACAATGTCAGCTGAACACCTGGATGCTTGCTTGAGGCTTGCAGTCACCGCCTACAGTCCTAATTACACAAAGCTGGCAGACAACATGCAGTGCTAACCATCTCATTAGTAAAGTAAGTTTATGATTTTGTCATGTTAACAATATATCATTACAATTATTGAAAAATATTATTTGTTTACTCTCTCTCTCTCTCTCTTCTCTCTACGAATCTGCGTATTTTATGGCAATAGGTGAATATTAGGCTGGTAGATCGCATCAGGGTAACTGTGGAAAAAGTATATCACAAAAAGGTTGGCCACCCCTTCTGTACACAATAATGTATATTGGTCTCCATGGGATCAGCCATGTTAATGATGTAAATTCATTGGTTTAACACAGAAATAAGGTTTGAAATCAAGGGACTTGCAGGCAACAGAACCCCCCCCCCCCAATCCATTTATAATAAGACATTTGTGGTTGTAAGTTTCAGTGTGACACCAATTGTTTTATGGCACCTAACCCATCTATGCTGTGGGTTATCTCACTTCAGTTTGCCGTGCTGTCTCAGCACCCTCAATGCGAAGGGCATTGATAGCACCTCTCACATCTTGCGATGTCTCCCCAATAATTCCTCGCTCTATTTGATGCAAGATCCCGTTGATGACTGGCATGGCACTGATGTCCATTTACGACATCCACTCTGTGTCATGCAGTACAGCATGTGATCTGAAGCCTCGGAGGATTCACATACTGCAGTTCGAAAACGTATACAGGTACTCCTCAACTTATGTCCTACTCAACATACGACCACCCGGACATATGACCATCGCAGCCGTACAAATTTTTTTTCAAACTCCGTACGTATTTTCTAGTACCGAAACGTTTCCGTCCCGTACGACAGCGTGGCGTGGGCTGGGCCGTCTCGTGGTGTACAGCGTCCACACCGTAGCGCGCTCAGTTGGTGTTTGGCCGTCGTTGTTGTCGGTAGTGATCGCGCTGTGTAATGAAAATATTTTCGTTTCTAATTCCCTTTAAAATGACTGGCAAGCATAAGAGTGAGAGTTCTGGTGGTGCTCAGAAGAAAATGAGACAGTCAATAACTTTTGAGATGAAAATGAAAATAATAATGCAATATGAAAATGGAAAAACGGTAGCAACCATTTCACGCGACCTAGGCTTCTCACTCGACGATATCAACAATTCTGAAGGACAAGGAACGAATTTGTGAGGTAGTGAAAGGATGAGCACCTATAAAGGGAACAATAATAACGAAAAAAAGACAAGGTCCTATTTATGAGATGGAACAATTACTTATGGTGTGGATGGAAGATCAGCGACAAAAGTGTGTACCCTTAAGCCTTCTAACCATACAGGCTAAGGCAAGAAGCCTTTTCGAAAGCCTAAAAGAGCAGGCAGGAGATGAGTGTGACCAAAACTTCACAGCAAGTCATGGTTGGTTTCAAAGATTTAAGAACCGTTACAGTTTGCACAGTGTAAAGGGGAGTGGAGAGGCAGCAAGTGCTGATGTGGGTGCTGCCGAAGCTTTTAAGGAGGAGCTAGATCTTGTCACCGTGGAGGGAAATTATTTGCCCGAGCAAATATTTAATGTGGATGAAACTGACTTATTCTGGAAGCGCATGCCAGAACGGACATGCATCCACAAAGAGGAGAAAACCATGCTGGGATTCAAGGCATTCAAGGACCGAATCACACTTCTGTTGGGGGGGAATGTAGCTGGTTTCAAGGTAAAACCCTTCATGATATACCACTCAGAGAACCCAAGGGCATTTAAAAATGTCAGCATGCACACACTACCAGTGTTTTATCGCAGTAATAAGAAAGCATGAATGACCCTAGCACTGTCTGAGGATTGGTTCCCGAGTTGTTTCATTCCACCAGCCAAGGAGTATTGTCTGCGACATGGGGTTGCATTCAAGATTTTATTAATTTTAGATAATGCTCCGGGGCACCCACCACACCTGGATGACCTGCACCCTGATGTTAAGGTAGTCTACATTCCACCTAACACTACCTCTATCATCCAACCCATGGATCAAGGTGCTATTGCTGCTTTTAAACGTATTATTTACATACGACCTTCGCTCAGGCTGTTGCTGCTACTGAAGGTGAGAAAACGCTCGAGAGTTTTGGAAGGACTACAACATTTTGAAATGTATAAAGAACATAGCTGCAGCATGGGATGAGGTTACAGGTCAGTGCATGAATGGAATATGGAAGAAGGTCCTGAAAAGATATGTGAACAGTTTCAAAGGATTTAATGTAGATGAAGCAATTTCTGAGATTAGTAACAAGATAGTGGAGTTGGGTAAACAGCTGGAGTTAGAAATTGATAATGAAGATGTTGAGCAGTTGATTGAAAGTGTAGCAGAGGAGCTGAGTAACGAGGATCTTATTGAACTGGATGCACAGAAAATTGCAGAGGAAGAAGAGAGACAAAATGTAGAAGAACCTGCACCCTCCAAAAAGTTTTCAGTGAAACAAATGGCAGAGGCATTTGCTACTATTAATAAGGGGATGCAAATGTTTGACGAAATGGAACAGAATGTTGAGCGTTTTGCAAAAGTTGACAGAATGATCCAAGATGCACTTGCTTGCTACAGGGAGATTTACAATGAAAAGAAAAGGCAAACTGTGCAGTCTAAATTGGACATATATTTTAAGAAGTCCCCCACTGCTGTCTCCTCACGTCCCAGCACTGCTGCCTCTTCACTCCCCAAAGATGATCCAATACCTTCAACAAGCAAGTATGTTAGCCTGTCTGAAGAAAGCAAAATTGATGACCCACCCAGCCCTGTCTCCTCTTCTGCTTCATCCAATTAATGTAGTCTCCATGTTTAATAAAAAAAATTATTGAGGCCCCTTGTGCATTCAGCTGACTGCATTAAAGGTAAGTGCACAGTAACACTTTATTCATTTTGTATTTTTTATTTTCTATGTATTATTTTCGCATTTTCGACTTATGACCCGGTCATTGGTCCCTAACCCCGTCGTAAGTCGGGGACTGACTGTATACTCAATACTCATTCAAGCTCAAAAGGTCGCAGATGTAGAACTACCAACCAATCAGAAACAGGTTGAGTAATATTACTTGGAAACCCTAGAATCACATCGACCCAATGGTTAACAATACTTTTTTGGGGGGATTGTACAATTGGCATAGGTTTCACAAGACTACGGGGAGGTGACAGGTCTATTGTACACATGAAAAACATGATAATTATACAGGATACTAAATAATGAGAAGTCTGAGTGGAAATATTTTGTCAGCTAGTGACATGAAGCCTGATTGACTGAGAATATGAATTTAGAAAATGTGCAACAGAAAACCCGAAGAGTTTGATAAAGTGCACAGCAGTACTGAACATCCAAATGGAAATTGGAAGAACCTGTGCCTGATGTTAAAATAAAGACAAATGAGGGGAGTGAGGTTTATTGTGCAGTATAATCTAAAGAATGCAATGGCAGAGGCAGCAGCAATTTTTAAGATAATTTTCAAATATGCAGTCAAGAAAGATTGGGGGGAAAGCCAGTCCGTTAATGCCAAAAGTCTGTTATATGTGGACCCAGAATAATAACCGAATAGGTCTGTTATATACCAACATAGTCCGAAGTGACCACGTGGGTAACTTTCCACCACTACAGCGCATTTTTCCCCAGCTGAGAAAAGATGCCCCGCCCCCTCCTCAAGAGTTACAGCTGATTGGCTGTTGCAAACCTGTCCGATTTTGTCCTGAGTAATGATGTATTTCTAAATGGGTTTATTCATAATTGTTGGGATGACCGTTTCTGATGAGAAAGATATTTTGCAAAATTAAATAAAGATACATACCTTCATTATTTCAAACATAAGCACGTAGGAAGTTTATCAGAAGTATTATACGTGAATTAACTGATAAACTCTGGTAGCAAATTCACGCTTTCGGAGGATGCATTTAATATATACAGTACTTATTTTTAGCCACAATAAGGCATACTAAGACAAATTACATATCAATAATAGTACATTACGCAAAAACAACATTTTAAAAGATCAGAATCACATTGAAATATTACACGACCAATAGCAGAGGCGAGAAAAATATGAAATAGTTCGCAGTTATATTCCCGGCTAACGGAGATATCACTGTATTGTATATGAACCTAGTCTAAATGGATGTGTCCGATAAAGTCGAGGTCCGTTAAAGACCGTGACAGTTATATTGGGGTTTACTGAACTATACTGTCTTTTGAGAAATGTTTATGCATAAAAGTTAGATGGTACACTAGAGAACTTAATACTAGAAAGGACATGATCAAAAGGCACTTGGAAGAATATTATATATGAACAGTTGAGTTGGTATATTCCCAGCCACTTTTGTTGACAAGAAGTTATATAACAAAAGTGGATGAATCAACTCACCTTCTCAATCCTTGCCCACTTTTTTATGTCAATTTCTTTACGACCATCATCCTCTGTGGTGACGGTCTTGACAGCACTTAGGGCAATTACACATGCCAAGTCTGCATACTGACCCATAAACTTGGTACCAACACAGGACTTAATAACTTCAACCATCTGCTCCTCACTGTTAAGATCGACTGGTACACTGGAAGTTGCAAGAAAATAAAAAATAAATAAATAAAAATAACCAGTATCCTTAAAAAAAGGTTGAAAAGGGCCAAGATAAAATTGTCCTTAGCATGCCTAAACATACTGTAGTTCACCTTTATACATGTGGGATATGGGTGTTTTTAAAACCTTGTCATTCCCATTCTAATGAGACTTCAAACCAAGGGCCAGCTGCCAATATGACATGTTTCTTACCAGAGTTGATCTTTAAGTATAGCGATGGCATCATCAAGAGCTTGTCTGTATGCCTGGATGATGACCACAGGATGCATCCTATGTTCTAGGAATTGTTCTGCTACTGCTAGCATCTCCCCAGCAAGGATCACCACACTTGTAGTGCCATCTCCTACCTGTAAAAAAACAAAACCTTTGACTCGCTTTCTAAATAAAGCCGATTACTTAAGTTTATTTCAGAATAACTAAATGCAGTTATTAATACGAACTGGACCCCTTTCTAATTGATTATATCATCATTGTGGTTTCATTACAGTACCAGTATATGCATCACCAAAAGTATTATTATGGGAACACCTCTGTGATACTTTTGTGAGCAAGAAGCCTTGTTATTCAATGACAAACCTTAGTTTGATCATAGAAAATTTGCTAGCTTCCCTACTGACATGTTTGTTCTGAGGCCATTATTAAACTGGCAGCAAGGCCCTTACAAGTAGAGGAAAATAACAATGACTATAGATACCATGTCATGATTTTACTGAATATGATATAGCCATCCAAAGATTATCTATGAATTGGTCATGTATAAGAATTTGCACAAATTTGCCTTAAATATAGACAAATAAAAGAAAACAACATATTGATTACAGACTCACTAAACCTGCAGACACATTAACAAGAATAAGGCTTCTGAGATTAAGGGCTTTTGGATGGTCTCACTGAGAAGGTTGACTCAAGTACAGTACATAATAATACAGTCCTCAGCCACTGTAAAAGTAAATCCTGTCCTGCATTTGGTAAAATAAATTACTAAATAAATAAAATCTTATACAGTACAGTATATTAAACGCTGGATAATCTACCAATAACAGAGACTGAAATGTTCTAATACAGTACAGTCCTGTACTGCAAAATCAATGTTCAGTAAAATCTGGCTAGTTATCAACCTACCAACACAACTTAGAAATTATACTGTATAAATAAAAAAGTTATACATCTCCATGTTAAAATAATTACTCGGGATCGGTCTAACGGAAGTTGCCAGCTTCCTGGAGGCTGTTGGGTTCATGTGGAACAGAACAAGGACAATGTAAAAAGAAAAACATTGTTAAACAGAAATATGGTGTGATGCACAATGCAAAGATTGATTTAACAAAAACTGAATTTTTATAGGAAATATGGAGGATGGTTGAATGAGTTTATTGTTTGTACAGTATAAGGGTTGATGTGTACATGTGAATGAATGATGTTCTAAGCAAAGGGGGGGGGGGGAGTGTATCAAGGCTGTGCAGTATTACCTTTCCAATGTCTTCATCCACGAGAAGAAATTGGTTACTGAACAAAGTTTTCATAAACTCTCAAATTATGTAAACAACAGAAAAACAAAAATAAAAGTACAGTACAAACCTCTTCATCCTGAGTGCGGGCAATTTCAATCATGTGTTTGGCTGCAGGGTGTTGAACAGTAATTTCTCGCAAGATAGCATTTCCGTCATTAGTCATGACAATGCCACCCATAGGATCCATCAGCATCTTTAACATTGATCGAGGCCCGAGGCACGTGCGAATAACATCAGCTATCATCTGAAAAGAGAATACCTTTTTACCTGTTCAAGCATTACCTCCTCTATGTCAAATGCCATATTCACAATATTTTTCGTTTTTCAAACTCTGCATCAAATCTTGTGATCCATGTAAATGCATACAAGGACAGAGTCAAGTTCAGATGAACGAAAATCCGACAAAACAGAAAAGAAGTCATTCTAGACATAGACCATTTATTTAACACAGAATGTAATTTGCTGAGACATAAAGGTACAAAGGGAATAACTTATTTCATATAAAAGAAGTAATGTTGTTTGCCTTCCAATTAAGACAATTCAGGTATCAAAAGTATAAAAAATCAATTACGAAAATACTGTACTTGAAAGCATTAAGTGTCCCCAGAAAATAACACTATGTTTACTCCTGTAAACATACTACAGTATTACTGATTAGAGACCAAGTGCAAACCTAAGCAAAGGACCATCCTGGAATAAGCACCTGACAGCTTTGTTGGTTATCCTTGGTCAAGTTTTCTTACTGTTTACTTCTGTCATTTACTTGTACTGTCTAGGCACACAAGAAACTGTATACTCCCATGGCCTACATGCACAGAATACCTAGGGAGTCTATATTCATGCTGAACTGTACAAGTTCTTGCATTTCCTTCATCCTAAAGGCTTACCAACATTGAAGAAATCTCTCTTTTTAGTATAGGGGTTATACCTCCACAAATACATATTTTCCATGGAAACAAAGTCATATTCGGTTGTAACAGGAAAAAATAAATAAGAAAAACCCATTTTAGTAATAAATTTTCAGTTATGGTATTCTGTATAATGAATCTTTACCCATCACTTGTCTTGTCAGCAACATTCTATTGTGGATGCAAGTTGTTAATAATCATAGATAGTAATGCCAAATCATAGATGGATTGTAGCATTGCTGGAGTGTCTTAAACAAATACTGTAGTCTTGTTCCCCTAATTGAACTTGCTTAGTCATCTAACAACTACTGATACAGTGTAAGTCCAACTAAGCAGTGGGACACTTTAACCTGCACCTGGTCTCTCCCTACAAATTTACCACTTTACATTTAAGAACATAAGAATGGAGGAAACTGCAGCGGAACTATTGGCCCATTCTGGGCAGTCCTGTTTACACCCACCCCTATCGCTCATATATCTGTCCAACCTATATTTGAAGCTATCCTGCATATTCGAGTTAATAATGATGTTTGGTAACTTGTTCCACTCATCCACTACTCTATTCCCAAAACCAATGTTTACCTATTTTGCACCTAAATCTAAATTTGTTTAATTTAAAAACATTACTACGAGTTCGCGCCATAAATAATAGTTGGATAGTTTGAGTACCTTCGTCATATCACCTCATGTTGCAATGAGCCTATCATGGTAGATGCTGTACAAATACAGCTCCTCCCCGACATACAACGGGGTTAGGGACCCTAATCCAGATCGTAAGTCGAAATGGTCTTAAGTCAAAAATGCGTAAATAATACATAGAAAATCTAAAATGGGTGTCTCTTTTTCTTCTCAGCACCACAAAACTCTCACTTTTAAACTTGCCAGCCATTTTAAAGTGAATTACAAATGAAAATTTTGTCTGTGTACTGAAGTTGGGACTTGAAAATACGTACTATGAGAAAATTTTGGTACGACCGAGGCAGGTCGTAAGTGTGGGTGGTCATAAGTCGAGTAGGTCATAAGTCGGGGAGGAGCTGTATTCAATTATGTCTTCATATACCAATTAGTGTCTATTTGAATTAATGTAGGTAATCAAACATTAATAAACAGTAGGTGATATTTTTGAAAGGAAGAAGTCAAGGATCCTTAGCTTTATGTCTACGTAGACTTTTGTGCAACAATGGTGGCAGACGGGTGTTTATTATTTCCTTAAAAAATTATAAAACATAAATCCTGTACAAACATTGTAATTCTGGCATATGCTTTGCAGTTTACTTGTGGCAAGGAAGATGCAGAATAATAATAATAATAACTCGCCTTACCATTCCATACCTAGGAAAGTCCCATTGCTATAAAAAGCTTACCTTATTTAACCTGTGGCAAAGGAAGAAGTAAGTTTATATGTATGTATGTATGTATGTATATATATATATATATATATATATATATATATATATATATATATATATATATATATATATATATATATATATATATATATATACACACACACATATATATATATATATATATATATATATATATATATATATATATATATATATATATATATATATATATATATATA